AAGCGTAGATAACACAGCCTTCCACCACAACGCTTCATCACCACAGCCCTCCGCCACAGCTCCTGCCACAGTCCTCCCATCACCAGCCCACCACCCACAGCCACCACCACAGAGCCACCACCACAGCCCTCCACCACAGCCTCCACCACAGCCCTCCACCACCAGCACCACTCCACCACAGCCCTCCACCACAGCCCTCCACCACAGCACCACCACAGCCCTCCACCACCACAGCACCACTACAGTAGCTCCTTACAGCATCATTGAGCACAGCATCAGATAGTGTTACCAAGAGCTGGCCTGAACACTACACCACAGCTCCCGGGTGTGGCTAATAAATATGATGTGGCCGGGAGATAAAATGAGCTGGCAACGATGTTTTTGTGGGTCAACACACACACACACACACACACACACACACACACACACGTCTTATATAAATAATGTTGTTAATGGAGAAAGCTTTAGTAATCTTCTGTTGATGGTAGATAGTGTCATAATAATCCTCCTCCTCTTCCTCTTCCTCCTCCGCCTCCTCCCCCTCTTCCTCCTCCTCCTCCTCTTCCTCCTCCTCCTCCTCCTGTCTTGAGCCATAATATTAATGTTATTAAAGACTTAACATCTGAACGGATATCGGCTACATTATGGCGTCTGGACTTACCTTCACTACAAGAAATCAAACATCGATTCTCTATACCCAAATGACAAGCTTAGGGAACGTACACCAGACGATCGTTCACCTACGTTCTACAACCTCCTAGCGGTGTTCTCTTAAGGCACACGAGCAAACATCCGGTGCTTGTGGATCGTCTCTTTCAGTTGGTGTAGAGGTTGATAGCGAACGCAGATAGCGAACAGTAAACTATGTGCAGCGGACAGAGGTGATGTTACGGGCGAACACAATAAGACCGCCGCGACGTATTAGGTAGACGCTGACAGATAAATTGCCTTATACAAGTTCTGATATAACACACAGGCGCCGCTAGATGGCCACACAGGCAGACGCATCAACAGAAATACACAACAACATCAAATAACCAATCAAAATGCAACAACAAAACCAATCAGAATGCAAGAAAACCAAATAACCAATCAGAATACAACAATAAAACCAAATAACCAATCAGAATACAACAATAAAACCAAATAACCAATCAGAATACAACACAAAACCAAATAACCAGTCAGATATAACAACAAAACCAAATAACCAATCAGAATATAACAAAAAAAAACAAATAACCAATCAGACACAAAAATAAACCCAACTGAGCCAAAAACATTTAAAAAATGAGAATTGCGAATTTACACAAAAAAAAAAAACTGATTTTCCTCCACGACAGAAAAAGTAAGATTTGAGAAGATTTTTTTTTAACTCAATGATGCAAGAGGTTAAGGGGGAACTGATCAAGTACACACACACACACACACACACACACACGCACACACACGCACACCCAATACGGCGGGAATATGCAGATAAACTCGGCAACCCGAAAAATTGTTTGGGGCGTCGGCGAGGACCCGGTGAGTGTGTGTGTGTGTGGAATACCCAAAATGTCTCTAATGTTTTGTAGTGAAGGAAGACCCAGGAGGAGGAGGAGGAGGAGAAAGGAAGATGAAGAGGAGAAGGAGGAGCTGGAGGAGAAGGAGGAAGAGAGGAGGAGGAGTGGGAGTATTGTTGTCAGTGTCAGTGTTGGCAGCTGTGTCGAGTGTGTAGTGTCAGCAGGTTGTTCGTTGTCAGCTAAGTGCTAATGTTGTCAAGTAAGAGGCAGTTTAATGTTAATGACATGCTTTGTTGTCAGGTGTGTGGCGATATGTTATCAGCTGGGCTACGTATTGTCAGCTGACCTTCCCAATGTTGTCAGGTGTGGGGGAATATACTGTCAGCTGACCTTCCCAGTGTTGTCAGTTGACCTTCCTAGCGTTATCAGGTGTGTGGGAATATACTGTCAGCTGGGATACGTGTTTGTCAGCTGACCTTCCTAGCGTTATCAGGTGTGTGGGAATATACTGTCAGCTGGGATACGTGTTTGTCAGCTGACCTTCCTAGCGTTATCAGGTGTGTGGGAATATACTGTCAGCTGGGATACGTGTTGTCAACTGACCTTCCTAGCGTTATCAGGTGTGTGGGAATATGCTGTCAGCTGGGATACGTGTTGTCAGCTGACCTTCCTAAGCGTTATCAGGTGTGGGGAATATACTGTCAGCTGGGATGCGTGTTGTCAGCTGACCTTCCTAACGTTATCGGGGAGGCAGGTTGTTAGTGAGGTCTGAAGGAACATTTAAATCTGGTCACAACATCAAATGTGAGAGGAAGGAATTTACATGAAATGGACACTGTTGAAGAGGTGAGGAGGTGAGGGAGGTGGTGAGGTGGTGAGGTGGTGAAGGTGGTGGTGGTGAGGTGGTGGTGAAGGGTGGTGAGGTGGTGAGGTGGTGAAGGAGTGGTGAGGTGGTGAGGTGGTGAGGTGGTGAAGGTTGGTGAGGTGGTGAGGTGGTAGAGGTGAGGTGGTGGGGGTGGTGAGGGTGGTGGGGGGTTTGGTGAGGTGGTGAGGGTGGTGGGGTGGTGAGGGGGTGGTGTGAAGGGTGGTGAGGGTGGTGAGGGTGGTAGGGGTGGTGAGGGGGTGAGGGTGGTGGTGTAGTGAGGTGGTGAGGGTGGTGGGGGGTGGTGAGGGGTGGTGTGAGGGGGTGGGTGAGAGGTGGTGAGGTGGTGAATGGTGGTGAGGTGGTGAAGGGTGGTGAGGGGGTGGTGAGGGATGGTGAGGGGTGGTGAGGGGGAGAGAAGAGGAGAAGAAGCGAGGGAAGGAGAGAGAGGAGAGGAAGGGAAAGTAGGAGGAGGAAGGGGTGATATTTCTGACAGACTGGAGGCCATTCTGTTGACGTCTGTTCCTTCCTGTTGTCCTATCCTGTTAATGTCTGTTACGTGACTCTGTGACTCTCTGTGACTTTCTGTGACTCAATGTGACTCTCTATGATTAATTGTGATTCTCTGTGACTCAATGTAACTCTCTGTGACTCCAAAAAGCGGTCATGACGATATCTCTCAAGTTTCAAATTAATTCATCCAAAAATATAAGATTTACCGCTGATGATTTTCAGGACACACACACACACACAAACAAACACACACACACACACACACACACACACACACACACACACACACACACAAGATGTTAAGTAGTTGTTGAATGAGAGAGAGTCAGGTGGGCGTCATACTCACGCTACAGCTTACGTGTGTGTGTGTGTGTGTGTGTGTGTGTGTGTGTGTGTGTGTGTGTGTGTACTGAGACTCGTGATGGGCGTGTGTTTAGCCTCGTGGGCGGCAGGCAAGGCCAGGTCAGTGAGGGGTCGTGGGTGACTGTGGGCGTAGGTGAGGGCCATGACAGTGGGCGTGAGTGAGGTCCATGACAGTAAGCGAGGGTGAGGGCCATGACAGTGGGCGTGAGTGAGGTCCATGACAGTAAGCGTGGGTGAGGGCCATGACATTGGCCGTGGGTGAGGACCATGACAGTGGGCGTGGGTGAGGACCATGACAGTGGGCGTGGGTGAGGGCCATGACAGTGGGCGTGGGTGAGGGCCATCAGTGGGTCAACTTCACACAGTCATTGTTCATCTTCCAGGAATTTCTTGCCAAGGATGACAAATGGAATCTCAGGTGTATACAGGTGTGTGCAGGTATACACAGGTTGGTTTCAGGTGTATGTAGATTTGTTGGTATTCATATTTGTATCACTTATATCACTTGTAATTTATTTATCAATCAAGTAACTGTTGTTTTGAGTGTATGTTCAGCCTTTGGTCACCTGTTCTTTCAATTAACCTTTAATTACCTTTTGTAGCCTCTAATTAATCCTTCAATATAATCTATACACTCACGGGAATAAACTAAACTACATTTATATAATCAAAAGCATTTTATTATAATTTTAAGCCGTAAAAAAGACTTATTTACATTTACGTGTAAAAAAATACATTTACAGTACACATATTTTACAAGTCAGTTATTGTTTATACATAATTTTTGTTTACGATGCATTTAAAAATATGTTGTATCCTGATTGATTCATGTATTGTACAGTGCCACTACAGGTATGGGTCAAGTTAGAGGTTAATGGTCAGCTTAGGCTCCAGTCCTAGTAGACCCTAACTCAATGGGCCCCAGAGTAAAGAGATCTCAATTGTAATAATCCCTGAATTGCCAACACAGGCCAAATAGACCCCAGTTCTAATAGGTCCCAGTTCTAATAGACCCCATTTCTAATAGGTCCCAGTTCTAATAGACCCCAGTTCTAATAGGTCCCAGTTCTAATAGACCCCAGTTCTAATAGGTCCCAGTTCTAATAGACCCCATTTCTAATAGGTCCCAGTTCTAATAGACCCCAGTTCTAATAGGTCCCAGTTCTAATAGGTTCCAGTTCTAATAGGTCCCAGTTCTAATAGACCCCAGTTCTAATAGGTCCCAGTTCTAATAGACCCCATTTCTAATAGGTCCCAGTTCTAATAGACCCCAGTTCTAATAGGTCCCAGTTCTAATAGACCCCATTTCTAATAGGTCCCAGTTCTAATAGACCCCATTTCTAATAGGTCCCAGTTCTAATAGACCCCAGTTCTAATAGGTTCCAGTTCTAATAGACCCCAGTTCTAATAGGTCCCAGTTCTAATAGACCCCAGTTCGAATGGGTCCAGGTTCTAATGGGCCCCAGTCCTGAAGGGTCCCAATGGGCCCCAGGTCACATACTATAATAAGCGTTGCCAGGTCATATCATCATGACACACAGCTTGACAAACGTTGATAAAATTCACACTAAGACAAGCTGAGATTTATAACATATGGTAACACTGACTGGGAGATCATAGAGGGACATTTTACCCATCAGATGACAGAAAAAATGTTGCCAAACAGAAATCATAAGATAAATGAGTCAGTTTTTTATAATATGACAGACTATGGATGATTAAATATATAGAAGACAAACGTTTCTTATATGACAACACACACACACACACACAATATGGATGTTGTCATATCATGTATTATGTAATTAATTCATCTTACATAATTATCTCCTGTAACATATTGATACATTATTAGTGAGAAAGAAATTACTTTTTTTGTCATATTACATATTTTGAAAAGTCACACATGTGATGTATTATGACAACAACAACAACAACAACAACAAACGCGGCTAGATCACGTGACCATTAATACCGGGTGACACAAAATATGGCACATTAGACTAGAATTGCACATGTGGTTCTGTGACACACTGTAACGTGGTGGTTCTGAGACACACTGTAGCGTGGTGGTTCTGTGACACACTGTAGCGTGGTGGTTCTGTGACACACTGTAGCGTGGTGGCTCTGAGACACACTGTAGCGTGGTGGTTCTGTGACACACTGTAGCGTGGTGGCTCTGAGACACACTGTAGCGTGGTGGTTCTGAGACACACTGTATTACCGTTGTGATGTTAGTAATGTCTTGTTCAACACTGTAAGTGGTTGAGTCCTTCCCTGTTGTCCTCCTCACCGGGCGGGAGGGAACAGAACTGCCTGACTAGTTACACACACACACACATACACACAGACACACACACATACACACAGACACACACACAGACACACACACACATACACACACACATACACACACACACACACACACACACACACATACACACACACGTCCGCTGGACAAGCGCGCACCTGTATTTTAGTACAGGTAACATATGCCTAAGTACTCGGTAATTACATTTACCTCATCACTAAGTACATGTAATTAGGAGAAAGGTGAGCACTGTCCACACCTTACAATAATTTCTGAGGTGTAATAACACACCTGAGCTGGTGAGGGAAGAGCCTCTTGCTGCGGTAACGACCTACGCACACACACACACACACACACACACTATGGCCGAGGTTAGTTACACAGCTCGGTGGTGAAGACGAGGGCGTCCCTCTCAGCTCCCAGGAGGACGTCGAGGGGATCAGCAACACTCAAGGTGGGGATGTCATGGAAGACATCGAGGTTGTCCTCCAACAGACCCGAGTCGTCGGAGAGGAGGTCCTCGAGGTCGCTGGCACTGCTGAGTGATCCTCGTATTGTGGAGGGCGAGCTGGTGGCTGAGTTGTGACTGGAGGTGGAGTAATAACTCGAAAAAAGAGGCGCCTCAGGGAGGAAATGCTGGCTCAGGGGCGGCGTCGAATACTGGTAGTGGAAGGCGGTGACGGTGTTGTCTGGTGGAGGTGTCGTCCTGCAGAAGGAACGCTGTAGGGAGTTCTCTAGAGAATACTGTAAAGAGTTCTCTAAAGAACACTGCAGGGAGTTCTCTAAAGAACATTGCAGGGACTGCTGCAGAGAGTTCTCTAAAGAACATTGCAGGGACTGCTGCAGGGAGTTCTCTAAAGAACATTGCAGGGACTGCTGCAGGGAGTTCTCTAAAGAACATTGCAGGGACTGCTGCAGGGAGTTCTCTAAGAGGGAGTTCTCTAAAGAGGAGACACCGCCGCCCTCCAGCAGGTGAGACAGGGTCCTGATGTAGTTGACAGCGAGGCGGAGGGTCGTGATCTTGGTCAGGGAAGACGAAGCTGCCTCAACTTCCATGACGTCAGGAAGAACTTTACGAAGAGATTCGAACGCGTTGTTTATTTCCTTCATTCGGTGACGTTCTCGGGCATTGGCAGTCTTCCTCCGATACTTGGACAGCGGCGCCGGCCTCGACTTGGGCCTCGCCGCCCTCTTGGGAACCTCCTGACGAACTCTTTCTTGCTGTAGCCTCTTGATGATAGTTCTGGGACGCAGACCATACTTCTCCTCCGAGGCTGCGCTGCTGGAGGAACAGTGGTCACCCTTCACCATCATCCTGCCAGAGGTACTGCTTCGATCACTTCCTTATTAAGTTCGAATCACTTAACTTTATAAAATATCCGGAGTACTGAAGGACGCTTTGTGTCTCTTCAGAGAAGCGCCCTTTACAGTCGGTAAGATATTAGAGTTGACAGTTGTTGGGTTAAGTAATAACTTGACTGGAGAAATTCTCAGTTCAGTTGTCACACACTGGAGGATCAGTCAAGTGCGGACGGAAGGTGACACCTGTGAAGAGTCCCGGACGTTGAGGCACTCCCGGCTCCCCCCACTTCCTCCTCTCACACGGAAAATATGTTCCCAAATTTGGAATATTGCTCGTCTGCCCAGGGAGGACGGCAGCGGTGGTGGGGTCAGGAAGGCAGACGCTCACATCAGTAGAGTTACAGGTCGTCAGATGCGCGGAAGGACAGGTGGCAGCAGGAGCCTGTAACAGGTATCCTCAGGTAGGACACTAGGGGTTGAGACCTCGGTGTGGCGGGAGGTGGTGTTGGACCTGCCGGGCTGGGTGCAGGGATACCACTGATGACCAGTTCACCTGTTGCCCCGACCAACCCTACCACACGTGCCCCAGACTATGACGTCACTATTCGCAAGTTGAAATTTTCGCGTTATCCGAATACTCTGACCAACAGCTGTGTTTATTCTTCAACATCAGGTGTAAATTGTAGGTGTTGAAGCCAAGTATGAGGCAGGGTAGGGTAGTTTGCGTCACAGGTGTGCAAGAAGCGTGTGTGATAATAAAGGTTTTACTTGAGATGCCAGGTAGGCGGATCCGCGCGTGGCGTGTGGCAGGACCCATGAGACCAGCTCAGTATCGTCTGGGCCCTCGACCAGGGAGGATGTGACTCACGCCGCCTCCTACAACACTCTCCATTACTGACATTTTCTTAATAAAGTTACACCTTCCTTTTAGCTGTCTCAGAAAGCTCTATGTGTGCCTATCCTGACTGAGAGAAAATAATAAAGATGTGTGGACGGAAGGAAGGATGGATGGACAGAGGGAAAGAAGGATGATAGCAAGGAAGGATGGGTGGAAGGATACAACCTGTCAACATCCTTCCTCCCGAGTCCCTGGTCAGTCGTGGTGATAAGAACAACATCAATGTGACTTTACATCTTCTCCTTCCCCAACACTTCCTCCCTGTATGTGGCCATGACCGTCCCTTCCTTTTCCCATCTCTCCCTTCCCTCCCTCTCTCCCTCCCTCACTTCTCTTTCCCTCCTTCCTTCCCTCACTCTCTACCTTCCCTCCCTCTCTTCGTCACTTCTCTCCCTTTCCTTCCTTCCCCTCTCTCCCTCCCCCTTTCGGTCCCTCCTTCCTTTCCTCCCTTCTCTCCCTCCTTATCCTTCCTGTATGCGGAGGAGACGACGACCTTGCCTCCCTCCCCCCTCTCTCCCTCCCTCCCTCCCTCCCTCCTTTCCTTCCTCCCCACTTCCTCCCTCCTCTTCCTCCTCTTACTTATAAGGACTAAAGCCTCTTACTGCTCCTCTCATGTGTTTTTACTTCTTATGGCGACTGTGGGGCTGATTAGACGACTGGGGGCTGATTAGACGACTGAGGGCTGATTAGACAACTGGGGCTGATTGAACGACTGGGGCTGATTGACGGCAAGGTTGATTGGACGACTGTGGGGTTGATTAGACGACTGTTGGGGTCTGATTAGACGACTGGGGCTGATTAGACGACTGGAGGCTGATTAGACGTATGCAAGGTTGATTGGACGACTGTGGGGTTGATTAGACGACTGTTGGGGCTGATTAGACGTATGTGGGGTTGATTGGACGACTGTGGGGTTGATTAGACGACTGTTGGTGCTGATTAGACGACTGTGAGGTTGATTAGATGACTGTTGGGGGCTGATTAGGCGGATGCGGAGTGATTATCAAACTGCTTTATACTCAGACCTGACGACTTGCTTACACACCTCGCGTCTCACTGATAAACAAAAGATACTGAGCGAGGAGGAAGGACTCTGTGAAGGACTCTATGAAGGATTATATGAAGGACTCTGTGAAGGATTATATGAAGGACTCTGTGAAGGACTCTATGAAGGACTCTATGCTGTACGTTGGACTTAAAGATACTGGATATGTAGGACTTTTTCAGGATTTTATTTTATTGGATTTTTACACAAGTGAGTTTTAATGTTTGGTGTACATACATACATACACACATACATACATACATACATACATACATACATACATACATACATACAAACCCAAATACACAAATGCGCTTTAATACTCACTCATAAACACACACACACACCTGTAATCAAGGGGCAGTCGTACCTGTAGACATAATTTGCAGGTAATGACAATGTGCACTCTGATCCCTACCTGACTGACGGGACAGCGGGTGTCAGGAGGGTGTCAGCAGGGTATCAGGAGGGTGTCAGCAGTGTGTGTGCGTGTCAGAAGATTGTCAGGGGAGTGGCTGTAGGGTGTGTCAGAAGGGCATCAGGAGAGTGTCAGCAGAGTGTGTCAGGTGGGTGTCAACAGGATGTCAGCACTGTGTCAGGAGATCAGGAGAGTGTCAGCAGTATGTGTCAGCAGTATGTGTCAGCAGTATGTGTCAGGAGAGTGTCAGCAGTATGTGTCAGGAGGGTGTCAGCAGTATGTGTCAGGTGAGTGTCAGCAGTAAGTGTCAGCAGTATGTGTCAGCAGTATGTGTCAGCAGTATGTGTCAGCAGTATGTGTCAGCAGTATGTGTCAGCAGTATGTGTCAGGAGAGTGTCAGCAGTATGTGTCAGGAGAGTGTCAGCAGTATGTGTCAGGAGGTGTCAACAGTATGTGTCAGGTGGGTGTCAACAGGATGTCAGCACTGTGTCAGGAGATCAGGAAGTGTCAACAGTATGTCAGGAGAGTGTCAACAGTATATGTGTCAGGAGGGTGTCAACCCAGTATGTGTCAGGAGGTGTCAGCAGTATGTGTCAGGAGGGTGTCAGCAGTATGTCCAGGAGGTGTCAACCCCAGTATGTCAGGAGGGTGTTAGAAAAAGAGGAAAAAAAGAATGTGGAAAAAATCTCCTTCAGTCATTAAACTGGAGACTTCAACACGACAACAACAAGTTATCACAAAATATCGTTTTAAATGGCGTGTACTGGCGGAGGAGGTGGCGTGTGCTGGCGGAGAGGGTGGCGTGTACTGGCGGAGGAGGGTGGCGTGTACTGGCGGAGGAGGGTGGCGTGTACTTACTGGCGGAGGGTGGCGTGTACTGGCGGAGGAGGGTGGCGTGTACTGGCGGAGGGTGGCGTGTACTGGCGGAGAGGTGGCGTGTACTGGCGGAGGGTGGCGTGTACTGGCGGAGGGTGGCGTGTACGCACTGGCAGGAGGAGGGGGTGGCGTGTACTGGCGGAGGGTGGCGTGTACTGGCGGAGGAGGGTGGCGTGTACTGGCGGAGGGTGGGGCGTGTACTAGCGGAGGAGGGTGGCGATGTACTGGCGGAGGAGGGTGGCGTATACTGGCGGAGAGGGTGGCGTGTACTGGCGGAGATTTAGCGTTCAAAGCAGCATCAATTAAAAATAATTCCAGCTTTGACCTTCTCCCAGCGTGGGAATCCCCATTGAGCCTCCCTCCCCAGGTGTGTCCCCCTCCCCCAGCCCCCTCCCCAGGTGTGCCCCCACCTCCCGGTGTGTCCCTCCCAGTGTGTCCCCCCTCCCCAGTGTGCCCTCTCCCCCGGTGTGCCCCCTCCCCCGGTGTGCCCCCCTGCTCTCTGTGATAACATCTCCGTCATCTTGATAAGTATCAGGGGTAATGAATGGTAATGATTAATGAATAAATTATCTCAATATCAATTAGGTGTTGAGCCTCGCCCTTTGCAACACTTTTATTGCTCTTGATGGTGACCAATGACAGTCTTTGCAACACTGATATTATGGTGACCTTTGGGGCAGTAGGGGGCCATACCTAGCCTCACCTAGCCTCACCTAACCTAATCTAGCCTCATCTCATCTTACCTCAACTCCCCTCTCCTCAGTTCACCTCTCTCTCTCTCTCTCTCTCTCACCACACAGAGACCTTCACACGCTCGGCAGCTCAGGTGTGGCCGGGACAGGTAAGAGCCACCACGCAAAATTCCACTCAACGATCTCTAATGGTGAGAAGCTAAAATGAAATCTTGAACTCAGTACCGGAAGCTAAGATTGGGGATGTGGTTCTGTGTGGTATGGCTTGGGACATGGTGTGACACTGTTTGATGTAGCTTGGGACATGGCGGCCCTAATATCCATCTCTGAAATCCATTAATATTACATAAAACTAATACTGTATTTACCCGCTGTAGTTGTCAGGGTGGACGGACCCCTCAGCACCCTCCCTCGGGTACGATAGCCTCCCACGGGTGACTGGCAGCAAGCACTCACCAACCCTCGCGATTATCAACTTCACTGCCAGCCGAAAGTAAAGAATGATGACACGTGTGACCTTGACCTATGACCTCTTGACCCTCACACACACTCCTGAAGGTTGTATTGTTATGGTGATTGTGGCCGCGAGTTGTGAGAGTCACTCTTTCTCTCTTAGGAGTTTCTTCTTAAGAGTGACAAATAGAATCATGTTCCTCTGACAGAAGTAATGTTCTTTTATCAACACCTACAGTAAATTCTAATTCAATAATATGTGAGTGAGAGTTAATATTTTCTTCACTAACTCCCCCCAAAAAAATCGACAATCCAAAAAATATGATGTTTATCCATTTGTCTTAAGAGTACAGAAGAGTAGATTGACTTACCATCTGGCGTTCATAGTTGCCGATAATGGCCTCTCTGCTGGTCGACACAGGTGTTAATTGACTGTAAATGAAAGAAAAAAACACTATTATTATCATCATTCTATTTCCGGTTTGTGTTCTACAGTTGTCATTCTCTCTGTGGAGCCTCAAATGAGCGGTGTTTCTGAACTGTCTTTGTAACCTGTAAGAGATGCTAATGGCTGACTCCTCTTCCCGCCTTAATATTTGGAGAGCGCTTATTATACGTCACCTGAGAGATATCTACCACAAAATCATATATTCTCGACTTTAAATCTGTCATTATTATAACAATAAGCAAACGTCAACTAATAACAATAAAGTATAACAATAACATGAACACTGAACAACATCCAGACTGTTTCTCCAGCGATACTTGCTAACAACAACACCAACCAACAACAACTTGACGCCTTCGTTAGTGGCTGACGTCTCCTCCCTCCCCAGGCATCAGCGTCAGCACCAGCCATCAGTGTGAGACGCCCGTGAAACAAGAGACAAGTCCATTTACCCAGTGACGCTCATCCCTGCATCCTAAACGGCGGTGCGAGCCTCACCATGGTAACCAGGTCCCCCCTCCCCTCCCCCTCCCCTTTCCCTCCCCTCCTCCCCGACCTCTGCTCCTTGGTAAGCACACACACTTCCTCCCGTCTCTCTACTGTAAGTCATTGGGGTCCAGTTCTAATAGGCCCTTAGTGCTATTAGGCCCCATTGGGAGAAAGATGACGGCTATGACTGTTTTGTAGAGTCACT